CTGTTAGCCTTTGCGCTAGCGCTGACGCCATATTGCCTTATGTATTAGCTCAGCGCTTAGCGCGACAAACAAGCTAAACTGTTGTCCTCCATCCATATTTTCAGTTCCAGGCTGAGTCATTTCTACCTTCTCCTCTCTGTCAACGCTCTCTGGTTTCATTTAAAAATCAACATATATTGACTAAAATTAACCTTTAGCTTTACACTAGAAAACCGAGTACGTAGTCAATTACCCAGTATGCTTTGCAGCATTGATAAAATGGCGCCGTCCATGTGACAATACTGTATATATTTTTAAATTAATGAAAGCTAAACAGCTTACAGTATTTTTACAGTTTGTTTACAGCAAATGTTTATCAAATAATGTCTGATGTTACAAGTATTCTGGATCCCTTTAAAAGTGAAAGATCAAATAGAAACATGTTTGTGTCCTCAGTGAACGAGCCGTTCAGGAGCTGCGGAGACAGGGTCTGTCCTTTTCCTCCCCCCTCAGCGCCTCCAGCAGTTCTCAGCAGACCCCCACAGAACGCTCCCTTCTCAAAACCCTGGACCACACCGCAGACAAGTCTGCAGACAAGTAAGGCTCGGATTGTGGTCCTGGTTCCTTTTAATGTGCTTTGATGTTTTCTGTTCACCYAGATTTTAGATTTTCACACAGAAATTTGTTTTTTTCTCTTTCAGGGCTGTCAGCTTCAAGGACTAAAGAGAAGTTCGACACAGACCTGCCAGACATCAGTGCTCCTCGTTCTGTCCAATCAGTGGGGCAGGAGAAAATACATCTTTATATTCCAAACGCTGTCTGTCAGGATGATGTAAAGTTACAGATCAACTGTTCTGACCTTACAGCAGGACCCAGCACTCTGTGTATAATGTTTAATATTCATGTTTTCATATTTTAAACTATTAAATTATTACTAAATAAAGAGGAAAAATCCAACTGAACAAGTGTGCATCATAAAATATGATTGTGTTTTATTAAAAAAGTTATCAATGAAAGTATGTTGGTGTTTTAGCCTGCTAAACCACAGAATGTTGACTGAGGTCACTAAACATTTATACTTTACTGTAACAGTTCTTTGTCTTTCAGTCTTTAGTGGTCCTGAACTCTCACGCACACATCTGTAGTAAAAAACGTCTTTAAATACTGTTTTCTATAACGCAGAGAAGTGATTAAAGCAGCAGCTTTAATGCCGGCAGTGTTCTGAGGTTGTGTTGGGGAGAGGGTAGGCGAACAGAGAAAAATCTAAAATATACTTTGGTAAAAGTTCCTGCACCAGTTTCTGCGGCAGCGTGCACAAGTAGTAGTGTAAGGTTTCTGTGGTGATGGGCTTGTACCACGTTTGTCTCTGGGGGAAGTGGAGGGAAGCTGGAGCTTTGATGCTCTGCAGCACGAACTCTGCGTCCGCCTCCAGGTGCTCGTAGGAGCCGATGAAGTCGTAGGAGACGGCGCACGGCTGGCACAGGTTGTACATGGGCATCCAGTGCTCGTTCATGCGCTCCACGTCCTCCTCCAGCAGGTAGCGCACGAACTCCACAAACGTCACGTCGTCTCCGGTCACAGCGGAGCCTTTGCCCCGGCCCTTTCTGTACCGCTTTATGATCTCCACGCCGTACTTCTTCTGGTAGGACTGGATCTCTCCGAACTTGTTCCTGTAGGCCGACAGCAGGCGCTCCATGGGCTCCCGCACAAACATGAACTTGAAGTARTGCAGGAGTCGATAGCGGATCTCCTCTGGCTTCAGAGAGGACAGGAAGAGCAGGTCGCTGTGGTGGTCCATCTTGACGCTGACGTCCACGCTCTCCAGKGCTCCGCTCAGGACCTTCAGAACCCTCTTCCAGTTGGAGCAGGCCACTTTGGGGACGTAGCAGTACAGGAAGCGATACTTGTCGTTGACCAGGACGTGCTGCAGCAGGGTCTTCCTCTGTAGGGGGCTCAGGGACCAAATATTGTGGGCCGAGTTCCTCTGTCTGCACATGGCTCTGATGGTCCGGTTCCGGATCTCCTGGAGGATCTAGACATAAACAGAAACCAGTAACTCAAACATGGAGTGTAATGGTTTTAGTTCAATGTTAATGAAAGGTCTGACTCTTGACTAGAAACAGTTGTATTCTTCTAGTCCAACATATTCCAGCTTAATCCCAGAGTTTATAATCTGACCCGACAGCAGTAGCTGCGTTTCCATTGCAAAATATGCACAAAACTTTGTCGATATTCTGTTAATGTTTCGCAACTGCAGTGTTTCCATTAAGTAATAAATGTTATTAAAGTCACGTGAATACGTTTGTTCTCATGATAAG